GAGATTACAGGCACAAGGCTGTACCCCAGGGGTGTGATTATCCCATGATAACCACATCCACTGAAATTGCCTTATTGCAAAAATAATCTCTATTCACTGGTGAGACATTATTCAATAGGTGGTTTTTTATAAATGAAAAGATTTTTTAGCTTGAATCAGCAAGTGGATTAGGAAATTGGCCAGTTTATTTTTCATTACATTCAAATTCAGAATATAACATCATTATTTGCTTTCCTATTTGATACATCATAGTATTTTTGATTTTGTTTTTGAGAAACCCTTTAGGAGTTTCTATTAATGTTAGTTAAGTGGTACTGCTAAATTCAGGTCAAACTTTAAAAGGTATTAAGTGAACAACACCATTTTAAATAATTTATTTCTATGTGTAAGTTTTAATTCCTCTAATATTCATTTAAAAATTATAAATGTATAACCACTGTTAATATTTCAGTCTATCTCCTTCCAGGCATTTTTATTTTTCTAAAAGCATCTCTCTATATGTCTACTTAAAGATGTAAAGAGAAAAATGAATGGAATCCATGTAGCTAGCTACCTTGTTTTATAATCTGCTTTATCTGACCAAATGTTATAAACAATATCCATTCATTAAGAAATCTTCCTATCATTTTTCAATGGTTGCATAGTATAGGATTCCTGTGTGACAATATCCCATAATTATTCATGTAATATTCTTTTATTATTTATTTAGGTTCTCTTACACAATGCTTTACAACAAAACCTTGGGACATATCCATGACTATTCCCATGGGACAATTTCATGACCATGTATTATTAGTAAAACATAATTTAAACAAACAAGGACCTATTTCCCAAACCTTCAGTTGTTCTTACATATAGTTGAAGCTGATGGTTTTCAACTCGGACAGTACATCAGAAATAGATCAGTAACTTTCATCTTATGTGGTATCATAGATAGCGAAAGTTACTGATCTATTTTTACCTTAATCTCTCACAGAGTTCAGTGCTTTGAGGTATTCTTAGAAAAGTAAGACAGGATTTAAGAAATTTGAAATACTGCTTCCTCTTTTTTTTACTTGATATATCCTGGTACATCCTCATGTGTCAACACAGATCAACAGCTCACTTCATATATCTTATCTAATGGCTATATGGTATTCCATTTTGGCTACACTGGTATTCCAATTAATTCCATAATTAATTTATTTTTTAATATATTTTTTTGGCCATGCCGCGCATCATGTTGGATCTCTGATCAGGGATCAAACCCATGTTCCCTGCAGTGGAAGCATGGAGTCTTAGTGGAAGCATGGAGTCACTGAACCACCAGGGAAGTCCCATAACTTTTTTTCCATACTTAATTTTTTAAAAATATACTAATAAAGTGCTTACTATGTGCTAGTTGCTATTTATTCTAAGCACTACACATGTATTAACTCATTTAGTTCTCATAACAACCTTATGAGGTAGGTACTAGTATAATATCTATTTTACAGACACCGAAAACTGAGGCACAGAGGAGTTAACAGCTTGCTTGAAGTCACATGGCTACTAAGTAGAGAGCAGGGGTTTCAAATCAGGCATCTACGTACCTCCACACCTTCACAGTCTGAATTTATAGTTCCTTCTGTGTGGACAGTTGTTCCTTTGGCCTAAGATATCAAATAGATGGTTGCACTGTCCTGTCATCTAGGTCTCAGCCTAATATCACTTCCTCAGAGGTGGCCCTTCCTGACCACCTCAACTAGTTATTCCCCAATTAGTTCTTACCACAGTATCCAATGTAATTCTCATCACAGAATTTATAAATGCATAGTACTTCCTTATTAGTTTATTTTCTGTCATTCCCAATAGAATGAAAGAACTTCTGTCTTGGGGCTATATTCTAAGAACCTAGAAAAATGCCTGACACAGAGTAACTACTCCATACTTAATTGCTGAATAAATGAGTGAGTTTATTTTACCAACCCTTTACTGATTAGGTTTATTTAGGGTTATTTCTAATCTTTCACTACTATAAACCTTTGGGCATCTACCTTATCACTTTCTTACTATAAATTCCTGGATGTTGAATTTCCAGTAAAATGATATGTATGTTCTTAAGGTTTTTGATACATCAAATGACTCTTCAAATTTATCAGTTTATCTCCACTTTATCAATAGTGGATTAAAATGTTCATTTTATCATACTTGCTCTAACACTGCATGTGTCATGCTTTTAAATCTTTAGTGTAAGTTCTTTTGGTTGTTGTTAGTAGACTTTCTAAATAGATTCAAGAAAAAGTAGGTGTATCAATTACCAAATAAAGGGCTATCCCAGTCTATAGTCTATACCCTAGTCTCCTAGTATCCCAGTGTTCGTCCTACTCATTCTCTCCAAGCAGATCAGAGTAAGACAAGGCTGAAGAACAAAGACAGCACTGACACTGCCGCTTCATAGCCAACACAGAAGTTATTCAGCTGGAAGGGCACCACGAGGATGGAGCAAAGGGAAATATGAGAAAGATGTAACCCCTCCAGAAAACAAAATACACCTTTCAAATGTAACAACAGATCCCTGGGACTACCAAAAGGAGAGCTCAGAGGTGTCTGTGCTAATGGGTTCTTCATCCTACTCCACCTTCCTTTTCTTTGGGGCTTTATTTCTTTGACAACTTTTCTCCCTTCTTTCACCAGTTGAGTGAGGGCAGGGGAGAGGGAGCTGGTATGTGGGGTTTTAAAAGCACCTGCACTGTGGCATCAGCAGGACTTTCCTTTGTCAGAGATCGTCACACCAAAGAGTCTGTATCCATATTCTCTTACCACTGAGTAATTTTCCCTCTACTTAAAATGTGTGGTTTTTTTTGGCTGCACTGGGTTGTTGGTAAGGTACTCAGGTTTTTTTCTCCAGTTGTGGGAGTGGGGGCTACTCTCTAGTTGCAGTGCTGGGGCTTCCTGATGCAGAGCACAGGCTCCAGGATGTATGGGCTTCAGTAGTTGTGGCACATGACTTAGTTGCCCCATGGCATGTGGGATCTTTTTGGACCAGGGATAGAACCCATGTCCCCTGCACAAACAGGCAGATTCTTAACCAGTAGACCCAGGGAGGTCCTTAAGAGGTGGTTTTTAAAAATGTTTGAGAGAGAGATAAGGATTTTAAAAAATTCACGTGTAATATTTTGTGTGTACTTCCTCTACCCATCCTGACATTCATAACACCACTAATGAAACAGTGTCAAACTTGACAATGGATCAAATTCCTAAACTCCTAATATGAGAACTAGCATCTTGAGTCCAACAGCCTGCATCTGGCCTGCTGGAAGTAAGCCTGATCTCTAGTTATAGAAGAGAGCCTGAAGGCCATCTGCTGACTGAGGGTGAACCTTGAGCTCAGAGGTGGCAGTGGAAGCCTCACCGAGTCCAAAGAGGTGCATCAGAGGCCGAGATTAGCTGAGGACGGAGCTTCATGCCTAGAGCTTTTGCTTCAGTAGAGCAGCTCTGCCTTTATATGTTCTACATCTGGGACTGCTGTTGTTTAGTTGCCAGGTCATGACCGACTCTTTGTGATTCCCATGGACTGTAGCACGCCAGGCTTTCCTGTCCCTCATCATCTCCCAGAGTTTGCCCAAGTACATGTCCATTGAATCAGTGAGCCATCCAACCTATCTCATCCTTTGCCACCCTCTGCTCCTTCTGCCTTCAATCTTTCTCAGCATCAGGGTCTTTTCCAATGAGTCAGCTGTCCACATCAGGTGGCCAAAGTATTGGAGCTTCAGCATCAGTCCTTCCAAAGAGTATTCAGGGTTGATTTCCTTTAAGATTGACTGGTTTGGTCTCCTTGCTTTCCAAGGGACTCTCAAGAGTCTTCTCCAGCACCACAGATCAAAGGCATCAACTTTTCAGCACTCTGTCTTCTTTACTTTCCAGCCTACATCTGTACACGACTACTGGAAAGACCATAGTCTTGACTTATATGGACCTTTGTTGGCAAAGTGATGTCTCTGCTTTTTAAAACTGTCTAGGTTTGTCATAGCTTTCCTGCCAAGAAGTAACTGTCTCAATTTCATGGCTTCAGTGACCACCCGCACTGATTTTAGAGCCCGAGAAGAGGAAATCTGTCACTGCTTTCACCTTTTCCCCTTCTATTTGCCATGAAGTGATGGGACCAGATGCCTTGATCTTAAGTTTTTTTAATAGAGTTTTAAGCCCACTTTTTTACTCTTCTCTTTCACCCTAATCAAGAGGCTTACTTTGGATTACATGTAGGATTTTTAAAAAATTTTAAAAGGTTCTACAGCTGTTTAAAAAAATGTGGAAAATCTCTTGAGTTATACTATCATCCTTTATTTTAAAATGAAGAATTGAAACTCATAAAAAGTGAAATGACTTAAGGTTACAGGGTTAAGCAGGTTATTGCTATTATGATTCATTAAGAATTACTGTTGGATTAGTGTGTCTGTTTGAACAACATACTAACAAGGCACTGAGAAATTTAAGTTAAAACTTCTCAGTTTTAATATCTTCTTATAAAAAGAACTCAAATGATTTACACCAAATTCAACCAGTTTTTCTTAAGTAGACAATAACAGGCAGGAAGGTAAATAACTTTCAAGTAAAAATTAATTTTAACATATTTAACATCTTTTAAAATTCAATTTTCTCTGAAACAAAAACTGCAATCGTGGCTTCTAGTTCAGCTTAGTCCTAAAGCTCAGGAGGACATAAATATGAGAAACAACCATTTCTTCCTTTGATTGTTAGGTTACCAACCTGATAAATGATGTTTAATATATCTGTTACTTTTAACATCAATTTCATAGGGCCCTTAGCTAGAAAAATTAAATCCTAATACAAAGAATTTCATATTCAAAACATATAATCAGAGTTTTCCATTGACCATTTTGGAAATGTGACCTAACCCCATAAAACCAAACCAAACCAAATCAAACCAATAACAAGACAGACTTAAAAAAAACAGTTACTTTAGCTTTGTTTGTCCTCTGTATAAATTCTAGAACAAACAAATTATGTCCAGTGCCTACCTGAGCCATCAGTGGGAACTGAACTTGCATTAATTCCAGAAAGACCAAACAAAGGACATTCTCGATCTGTGTTGACGTGACCCCATTTGTGACATTTAATGCATCTCACATTTCGAACCTGAGAAATAGTAAACATTAATTATTTTGGTTATTAAAATACTAAGAACCTAACCACTGTTCAACTCCTTACTCCTTGTAGAGTTTAAGTGAAATCAGTCTTGTTTTTAAAAGATCTCCAAGGAAAGAGACTCTCCATATATATTTGGTAAAAGTAATTCAAACACTAAAATCTTTTACTATAAATTGCGTCTAAAAGTTCAGCTGAATCCTATTTCTTTTTGAGTGTTACCTGGTGGTAATAAAACAATGTAATCCAAAAAGAAATGGTAAAACACCAAAAAAGAATGATGTCCTGTCTCAATCTGGAATTCTCTAATTTAAAAAAAGTTAATCTTTGAGGTTTAAATTTCCTAAACCAAGGGCTAGCCAACTTTTCCAGTAAAAAGCCAGACAGCAAATATTTTAGGCTGTATGGGCCAAAGGTCTCTGTTGCAACCACTCAACTCTGCCAATATAGCAGGAAAGCACCCACAAATAATATGTAAACGAGTAAGTACGGCAGTGTTCAAAAAGTTTTATTTTTTGACCATGAGCTAATTCTCCAAATTCCTTGAAAACTGCAGAGACCATTTTCATTATAGCCCTCACTATAAAATTTTGAATCCTATCTTTTATCATGATTTGATATTTGGATTTGTATCTTTGCTACATTTAATGTTTTCTCTCCGAGTCCTTCTACTATCTGATACAAACAGAAACCACAGAGCCCCTTTTCAGCTTAAATACCTTTGGACAACAATATAAAGAAGAGTTTATTTTGAAAAAATTATTCTTACAGAATAAATGTGTCACTTGCCTGAATACCAAAGGGCTGATCTCTGATGTTCATGTCATCTTTGGCATATCTATTAAGGAGAGAAAAGGTACAAACAATATTAATAATAATAATAATTAAACTAAAAATAGTCTTATAGTTCTAAGTAAATTATGAAATGTACAACTTTAGTAAATAAATACAACCATAAAATCTATTTAGTATTTCCAAACACCACTTTATTATCAAGCATCCAGTCTGATAATCTGTGATTTTAAAAAAATGACAAAAATAAAGCTAAAGACTATGATCAAGCAAATTAGCTACATAAGAAAAATCATTAAAAATAACTTTTCACATTAGTTTCTTTCTCTGGTGAATAAAAAGCAACATAGGATGGGATATCAGATAAAACTGGAGAAGGAAATGGCAACCCACTCCAGCACTCTTGCCTGGAAAATTTCATGGATAGAGGAGCCTGGTAGGCTACAGTCCATGGGGTCGCAAAGAGTAGGACATGACTGAGCGACTTCACTTTCTTTCTTTCTATAGTTCCTTTTGGAGAAGGAAATGGCAAACCACTCCAGTGTTCTTGCCTGGAGAATCCCATGGACAGAGGGGCCTGGTGGGCTGTGGTCTATGGGGTTGCAAAGAGTCAGACACGACTAAGCAACTAACACACACACACATCAGATAAAATTAATGATACATATTTTATCTTAAAAGAAAACCAGTTCTTACTTTTCTCGTGGGGCCCCTTTCTGCCATTCAAATTTGTATTCAGTCTCTCCTTCTGTTTCTTCTTTCTAAAAACATTGTTAAAGTCTTTCAGTTTTTCCATAAAATTTCAATCTATTGTATATAAATCGAAACATAGAAAGCAGTACTTTACCTCTTTGTTTTCTTGATTGCATATCAAAAATATGGAGGAAAAAAAGGTAGGTCAAGTTAAAAACTTCAACATGAAAGTCTGCTATTATATACTACACTATGATATCACGGTATTTAATTGTAACCTGTAAGAATGTATTGCTTTGACTTTTTTCTTCTTTCACAAAATAAAATTCAAATCACTGTAGGATAAAAAATGGTACTGAATAAGAGGTAGTATTTAATTAATCTTAACAAAAGATTAATTTCTGATCTTTAAACTTCTACATTTTTCATTGACAGTGAATATTATGCCTTCTATTTACAAATATACTCGGCTAGAAGGACTAAAGACACAAATTATAAAAGAATAAATATACTTCTGGTGATGTTAAGATTTTATTTTCCTTCCTGAACAACATGTCATGAAATTATTATTATACTAGAGAATTACTGTTAGTATTTATCCTACTATATTGATTGTAGTATTTTAACAGATTTTATAGAATGATATCAATATTAAAAGATGAAGAGCAACTTCTAAAAATGTCTGTCATAACAGTTCTCAATCTTTAGTGACAAACATATCAAAGACTTAAAAAAAAAAGGAAATGAAGCAAGTACCTTTCTTAGCCCCTGGTGGAGCCTCATACATGAAATTAAGGCCATTCTTTACACGTTCATCTCCCATTAGCAATCTAAATCAAACAAGAGGTAAGTTTTCAAATTTTTTTCTAGGAGGAAAAGAACTGCAGAATAACTGTCCCTCTATACCCCTAAGTTCTAAGGGAATTAGGATAAAGTGTTTTTATTAGAGATAAAATCCCAGAACTACTCTTCTGACTAAATGATATCTGAAATATATGAATGAAAATTCCAACAGTGCTGCCCCTTTAGTAACTGGTTTTAAGTTCTGAGACTTTCTCAATACTTGAAAGAACCCAGCCCTCCCAAATGAAATGAGGGGAAAATGCCATGCTTACCCTTACATGCTTTTCTTAAACTTTGAAATGTTGTCTTGAAATCCTATATGCCAACACATATTTGGAATTAAGTTAAATAGTGCCACCATTTTTTCTTAATTGTGAGGAATCAGTTTAGAAAAATAAGTCTCTCTGGATTTCTTTAGGAAGTCAAATCCAATTAAAGCTTACAGGAGTCAAAGTCAATAAGAGAATAAACAAAATTCTTTAGCAAGGCCAATGGAGAGAGACTAGTTTAAAGAAAATCTACAAGAAGTTAATTACTATGATGGACTCAATATCTACTGCATCTTAAAAATCATTTTTTAATAACTTCTTTTTCAACACCAAATATTCCCTGTTTGGAGAACACAGTGTTCTGTTGTTCTGTTTAGAGAGATGTTTAGAGATACGTTCTGTTTAGAGATATATGTTTGGAGAATGTTGTTCTGTTTAGATATGCTGTGCTTTTTAGAAAAATAGCTCTGCAACAAACCGAATGAATAATCAAGTTAAACCTTTTAATTCATAAGATCTATGTAAAGTACTGATTAAAAAGAAGAAACCTGAAGAGTAAACATAATTTCCTCTTATATTTGGAAAAGGCTATCACAAAGTATAGCCTACATGATTCTAAGTCCTCTCTCTCTTATTTCCACTGGAGTTTACAAATAACTGTAAAAGAAGAGGAAGGCAAAAGGACAACAGGATCTACATCCATACCGTGGGATATGATTCAGCAATAAAAGGGAAGGAACCAATGACACATGCTACAACATGGATGAACTTCAAAAACATGGTACTAAATGAAAGAAGCCAGTCACAAAAAGCCACATATTGTATGATTCCATTCATATGACATTTCGAGAATAGGTAAATCTATAGAGACAAAGTAAGTCAGTGGTTGCTTAGGTCTGAAAGGAACTGGGAGTCCAGGTTGTGGGAACGGGAAGTGACCGCTATTGGGTACAAGATTTCTTCTTCGGGTGGTGAAAATGTTCTGAAACGAGTTATGGTGATGGCTCCAAACTTTAAATATACTAAAAACCAACATATACCTTAAAGTTCATAAATTATATCTTATATTAACACCATTTAAAAAATTAACATGAAGCATATGAAAAGCTCAATATCACTAGTTATAGGGAAATGTAAATCAAAACCATGAGATACCATGCTGCACTCATGAGAATGATTATTTTAAAAAAAAAAAGGAAAATAACAAATGTTGGGAAGGGTGTGGATAAATTGCAACCCTTATGCATTACTGGTGGGAATGTTAAATGGTGCAGGCCCTATGGAAAACAGTTTTCTGATTCTTCAGTAGTCAAACACAGAACTACCAGATGATCCAGCAGTTCTGCTCCTAGGTATAAACCCAAAGGAACTGAAAGTTGGGGGATGAAAAGATACTGGTATGACATTATTCAAAATAGCCAAAAGACAGAAGCAACCCAAGTGTTCATTATGGTTGACTGGGAAGACCAACTGTGGTATGTATAAACAATGGAATATTATTTGGCCATAATAAAAAATAAGCTGTGATACATGCTAAAATATGGATGAATCTTGAATATGTTATACTAAGGGAAGTATGCCAGACACAAAATGACAAATATTTTTCTACTTGGGGTAATGAAAAAAAATTTTTGGAAATAGAGTGGAGATGGTACACAACACTATAAATGTAATTAATGCCACTGAACTGTGCACTTAAAAACAATAAATTTTATGTTTTATATATTCCCTTCCTAAAAAGCATTTCATTTACACAAACAAAAATAATATAAAATCAAAACTGGAAGATCAATTGCATTTTGTGCAAAACTCAACAGGTATACAAAATAAAAGGAAAAGCTACTGTATTAGTATTTATGTTTTAACTTCAACTAAAAACTTATACAAGTTCTTCCTTTTTTCTTTTTTTTTTTTTTTTGCTGTTGACTCTAAGTAGAGTGAAATGTATAGATGTTCTGACATCCTTTTATTTATCCATTCAGAATAATAAATATGACTGTCATGTTTAGGGATCAATATCCACAAACACTAAGAAATATCTAGGACATTTAAAAACACAGAAGGGAAAAAATAGAATACTAAGGAACAGAACTATTAAAGACAACATTTTTGAACAAGGAAAAATGAAAAATGTAGCAAATCACTCCAAATACTCATAAACTTGCTTTTATATACTCATAAATTCAAACAACCAAACCTAGAAGCAATGAACAAACCCAGTGTCCAGACCCTGGTTTCTAAGTATTTTTCTCAAATAAAAGGAACAGGTTGATTCCAATACTGGAGCAGGGAAAAATAAAAAATAAATTTTTTATGACCTTATAGTGTCATGAAGTAGTTTTATTTATTTACTTTTTAAAAGGATGGAGCATGTTAAATGGACATAGGAGTCAAGCTGATAGAGCAGGCAAAGGCCAAAACTTGAGCAAAAAAGTGTACGAGTACTGGATTATAACCAATTAAGTAAATATCTGAGTCCATAATGATAGGAATAAATGATTAAATAAATAAGTGAGGGAAAGGAAAAAATCCTCTTTCCAGAGAAATGCAATTTAAAAAATGTAGAGGAATTTCTTAGAGAAACAGAAAATCACTGTTAGAAAACCACAGTAACAATTGATGCAGGCAAGAACTATCAATGAATAGTAATACTAGTGGGCGAAATTCAGGGAGAAACAGATATTTGCATGGGTTCTTAATTTCTACTTCCACTATCTCTTTAATTATTTTAATTGGAGGCTAATTACCCTTCAATATTGTGGTTTCTGCCATACATTGACATGAATCAGCCACAAGTGTACATGTGCCCCCTGTCCCGAACCCCCCTCCAACCCCCCTCCCCATCCCATCCCTCTGGGTTGTCCGAGTGCACCAGGTTTGAGTGCTCTGTTTCAGGTATCCACGATCTCTTTATTGGTCTAACTCAACTACATTGCTGTTTCCTAATACACTCTTCACCTTCCCACCACGCTCATCTTTAATAAGCTTTGACTATACGCAGATCAGAGCTTTTCCACAGCGGTGCTATTTGACATTTTGGACTTGACCATTTTTTGTGTACGCTGTAGGCTGTTATGTAACATCTCGAGAATCCACCACTAGATGTTATCGCCCAACCCCTGAGCTATGAAGATCAAAAAATGTGTCCAAATGTTGCCACATATCTCCTGGGGCAACAATGGCCCTCAGTTGAGAACCATGGCTCTAAATCCTTACCCTTCTTCATAGTTCAGCTTTGAACTATGTCAAATGTCACCTTTCTTTTTCTCCTTGTCCCTCCCTTCTCCCTCCCCTCTTTCACAGAGTCTTACTTTGTTATCCCAAATGGAATCATTTTGTCTTATGCTAGCCTGCCACAGTTTTTCTAACAGTGTATTTTCAATTAGTTATTATTTTCAGCCTTGAACTATGTATGTACATATCTTGTTATTAGATTTTCTTGAGGCTAGAGAGAAGCTATGCATCACATTTTATATTATAGGCTACTACAATATCATTTGTTGCCTTGCATGAAGTAGGTACTCAATAAAAGTCAATCAAATTAAATAGTGAGAAAAGTACTTAACTGAATAAAATGTTTTATTTCTCTAATTTTGCTCTCAATACACTATATTTTAAAGAGAGTATTTGGTAATAGTTTAGTATTACTTTGCTTAAGTTCCATGTTTTGATGAAATATAGGACTGACTGGAAGAGAAAGTGTGACCTATCAAAAGCACCACTATTTATTTGTTTGATTAACCAAAAGAAATCAGCTTCAGAGTCAGACCTGCAAATACAAACATAAAGTGACAATAGCTGGGGGTAGGGATGGATACTGTACTACATAGTAAGCCAGTGAGGAACTCTAGCTCTTATCCTATTAAAAGAACAATGACATGCAGGTCAGGTAGAGACACTTCACTTTACTTCTTAAAGCTATCTTGCGCATCTTTTCATTTCAGTGTATGCTGAAGAAATATCTTCGTACGAGGCCTCAGTAGTTCAAGTATAAATATTTATTTTTCTTCCAAGTTTTGAGTAAGTTGGAATGTCTCTATAAACTATATCTGGAGTGTATATTCACATCAATCTATATTTTATGTGAATTATGGGTAAGGTTGGAAAAAGTGCCCATCTATCAATGTAAGAGTAAAGACAGTTCACAGGGAATACAATCCTATCATTGGGGGCATTCAGTTAAAAAAAAGCTAGTATATGATTCAGTAAAGGATATTCTCATGCAACTGATTACTCTAAAAAATACCAGCAGGGTTGAATTTCTTACCTATTATCATATGATTCTTGTTCTTTTAGATATTGTTGCATTAACTCTTCTTGTTTCTTCTTGTCATATGATATTTTCTGTTCTGCCATCCAAACCTAAATTAGTAAAGTAAAAACTTAAAGTTTGTTCTCTTTTATAATAAAACATAAAACGCTATTCTATATAGTTTACAACATATCTATTTTGGTCAGAAAGCCACAATAACAAAACAAGAGTTGAAAATTCCAATTTATGCTTTGATACAAGTCCTAAAATATAATCACTCAAAACAGCTAAACTTTCAGGCAAGAATGTCAAAATTGAGAACCACTCTGAGCACTTGGTACAACAGATTCTTGCCCTCAGTCCCTTGGGTGTTTCAGAGACAAGAACGACCATCTCTCTACATGGAATATGTCTAGTGCAGAAAACACACAGGGCACATTGTTGGATGCCAGTGTCACTGATACCCCAAGAGAGGAAAAATGGAAGACAAGGAGGAGGAAAAAAGGAAAGGAGATGAAAGACAGATGTAGAAAAAAGGGAAGAAGCAAGAGAGAAAACTGGAGAAGGAAATGGCAACCCACTCCAGTATTCTTGCCTGGACAGAGGAGCCTGGCAGGCTACAGTCTATGGGGCCCGAGAGTTGGACATGACTTAGCGACTAAACCACCAAGAGAGGAAACAGATGAATCAACAGATGCATCTGATACCCTGCAGTTGCTCAAAGGCACCACCACCACAGGCTGGGTGGGTCCCTATGTGATATTCTCAGAATCATAAAAAGTGGTGAAGGTAAAAAGCCCACACAGCTTATGCAAGGATATTTAATCAAGTTACCTCCAGGTTTAAAAGGTATCAGTGTCTTTCCATCTTCTTTAAAGTAAAGGATAAAGTGTTTGATAACCATTCAACATAAATAGCAAGGCAAAACTGTCTCTCCCAACAAGCTGTTTTAAGAAGGTAAATTTAAGGAAAAATATTTAACACATTGATAAATATTTAATACTTAAATTGATAAAGTAATTAATAATTATAATGGGGCAGATAAATATGGGGAGGACTGGGGACAAGACTGCCATTATTCAATTTTAGACACAAAACAGGAGTAGTTATTAGTATTTAATAGTACTCAGATAGGTAGGTTTTATGGGGACCACAATCTGAGATGTGGACAACAAAGATTAATATGGAGATAAAAGCAAAAACAGAAATGAAAAGAGAATCCTTCAGGAAGAGACTATCCTGGAAATTTCTTTTGCGTAAGTTCCTAAAATTTCTTCTACTGTCTTCATAACTAATATATCTGTCATAACCAATATAACATTACCAATGTAATGTTATAGTAGAAGAAAAGTCTACACTTGGGATAGGCAGTAAAAGGCACCTTTGGAATTTTCACTATAGCTAAAAATGCAAACAGTTGAAATAGAGAAATGCAAGATGTCATTGCCTGATCAAATAATACATTAATAACAACCTCCTAATGATTAAGATACTACTTCTAACAATAACTACATTTATTTAAAGTTTTAGATTTACAAAGTTATTTTACAAATCTCATTTGCTCAAGAGCTGAAATACATGAATATTTATGATGGATTAAAATAAAAAGTAGTGAAATATATTCTCGCCTACAAAATGCTCAGAATCTGCTAACAGAAAACCATACTAACCTTTCTGTATGTTTAATATATTTTATAATAAAAAAAGATGTGAATTGTGTAAATAAATAGTAACAGTGTTTGGGTTTGGGCAGCGTAGGAAGGGGGCACATCATGATTGTGTTTTTCATAGCTTATGTTTTTATATGGTTGCATTTATGCCAATAAATCCTCATCTGGGAAAAAATAGTAACAATAAAAATGAATAACAGAATACATTCAATGTAAGGAAATAGAACAAGACAGTGATTAACTCTAGGGGACAGAGAAGAAGGCTGATATAATAGAATACTTTACAGCCAAGTTTTGGTTTTTAGAAGTTCTTTATTTTTTTAAATGACATAACTATACTCACGTTCTGACAAAATGTGGTCCACTGGAGAGGGAATGGCAAATCACTTCAGCATTCTTGCCTTGAGAACCCCATGAACTACACTCACATGTAGCCAATATTATTTCTGTCTTGTAAATCCTTCCAAGGATGTTCACATGGACACACACGTAATATACATAACATAAACACACACATACACACGCATTTTTGGTCCCTCTTTTCATAAATGGTAACATATACACAGATGGTGACTGCAGCCATGAAATTAAAAGACGCTTACTCCTTGGAAGGAAAGTTATCACCAACCTAGACAGCATATTAAAAAGCAGAGACATTACTTTGCCAACAAAGGTCCATCTAGTCAAGACTGTGGTTTTTCCAGTAGTCATGTATGGAAGTGAGAGTTGTACTATAAAGAAAGCTGGGCGCCAAAGAATTGATGCTTTTGAACTGTGGTGTTGGAGAAGACTCTTGAGAGTCCCTTGGACTGCAAGAAGATCCAACCAATCCATCCTAAAGAAGATCAGTCCTGAGTGTTCATTGGAAGGACTGATGTTGAAGCTGAAACTCCAATACTTGGGCCACCTGATGTGAAGAGCTGACTCATTTGAAAAGACCCTAATGCTGGGAAAGATTGAGGGCAGAAGGGGACGACAGAGGATGAAATGGTTGGATGGCATCACCAACTTAATGGACATGAGTTTGGGTAAACTCTGGGAGTTGGTGACGAACAGGGAGGCCTGGCGTGCTGCAGTTCAAGGGATGGCAAAGATTCAGACATGACTGAGTCACTGAACTGAACATATACAGCATGCATATATATATGTACGCATATATAATACAGCATACATAAACAGAGAAAATGTATAAAATAAAATTCTATACCATGGAGATCATTCCCAGATCAGTAAACAAAATGCTTTATTTTCTAGGAGGGTAGGGTGCTGAAGAGTATCATTTCTTCGTGGAGCTACACCATCATTTATTTACCAATCTCCTGCTGTACTGGTGGATATTAAGACATTTCCAATTTTCTGTTATTACAAAGGCAGCTGCAATAAATAACCCTGTTACACAAGTAGCTTCAATGTGTTAAACAGGATTTTGAAGCATATTAAAATTTTGTCAAGGGAAAAATAGGGTAAGATATCACTGGCAGAGGGAACAACTCAGATAAAAGATCCAAAGGTGTAAAACAGGAATTGAGTAGTTTGATTTTACTGGAGCATAAAGTCTAAGGTTGGAGACTTCCCTGCGAGGCTAGTGGTTAAGACCCTGTGTTTCCACTGCAGGGGGCATGGGTGCGATCCCTGGTCAGAGAACTAAGATCCTGCATGCTGTGGAGCCAAAATTAAAAAAATAAATAAAATTTAAAATCTAAGATGGGAGAATAGCAGTAAGGGATGATGAAGGAAAAATAAACTGGAGCCTGGTTATCTGGACTTAATTTTGGAGTATTTTAATAAGGAGCTGGAAGAAATCAAAGCTGTGCTTTAACATGACTACTCAATGGAAGCAACCCAAATACTCATCAAATGATGAATGGATAAATAAAATGTGCCATATCTATACCATGGAATTATTCAGCAATAAAAGGGAATGTAATACTGATACATTATACAGCATGAACTCTGAAAACATTATGCTAAGTGAAAGAAGCCAGTCACAAAAAAAACCCATATTGCACGATTCAGTTTATATGAAATGTCAGTTTATATGAATAGGCCAATTCACAGAAATAGAAAGCAGATTATTTGTTGGCTAAGGCTGGGGAGCGGGGAGGATTAAGGACAAATGGGGAGTGACTGTTAGTAGATATGGGTTTTGGGGAGAGTGATGAAAATATTTTAGAACTGTTTTGGTGATGATAAAATTCATAAATACACTTAAAAATATTGAATTTTACACTTTATATGAGTGATTGTATGGTATGTGAATTATACCTCAGTAAAACTGCTAAATAAAAAAATAATTATTCTGATCGGTAGAGAATGGATTTGAGAGGGATCAAGACTGGCAGGAGAAAAACCAGTTAGGAAATATAACAATCTAGGTGAAAGATGATAAGGGTCTAAGATGCAGATAAGGTTAAGATGCAGACAGTAGTGACAAGGAGCAGAGATGCACTCAAGAGATACTTAAGAAGTAACAGCAATAGAATTTATTAGCCGACTAGATAGAGCAATGATGGAAAAAGATGAATCTTATTTCTGGCCTGGGTGACTGGATGAGGGTTGAACACAACCCTCACAACACAACTATCTGCATTTCCTACTGATACAAGAATAGGAGGAGAATAAAAAGATAGGTTCCACTTCAGGTATGTTGAGTTTGAGATGCCTGCAGGATATCAAGATGAAATTGTCTAGTATATAGCTGTGTTCAGGTGCCTTCGGTTCAGTTCAGTCGCTCAGTCGTGTTCGACTCTTTGCAACCCCATGAATCGCAGCATGCAGGCCTCCCTGTCCATCACCAATTCCCAGAGTTTACCCAAACTCATGTCCATCGAGTCGGTGATGCTGTCCAGCCATCTCATTCTCTGTCGTCCCCTTCTCCTCCTGCCCCCAATCCCTCCCAGCATCAGAGTCTTTTCCAATGAGTCAACTCTGCATGACGTGGCCAAAGTATTAATTAGGGCCTAAGATCTGGCAGTGTAGAGTTGAGTCAGGAGTAAAAAAAAAAGGTCGTTAAAATTTCGAAATTGGCTGTAACTGTTCGAGAAAGCATATAGAATAAGCAGTATGAAACTCTGGTTACCACCTGTATTGTAGGAATAGTCTAAGGATAACAGTGTGTGGGGGCACAATTAACATTTTATTGTGCACTCCCTCTATGTAGTAGGCAGAGAGCAAGGTGGTGTTTCAAAGTCTTTATCTACACCATCTTACTTAGTCCTCATAACAATTTCAAGTCAAAGCAACTGATATGGATCATTCTTAACTTACAGATTAGGAGGCTCAAGATGAGGGATATTAAATATTTTATGCAAGGTCTCAGGGCTAAAAGTGACTGTGCTGGAATAACAGAATATAGGTCAGGTTTCAATGCTCAGACTCATCCTACTTCACTATTCTGCTTCCCACTGCCGTAATATTCAGCATACTTTTTTTTGTACTGGATCTAATAGACCTATAAGTGGTCATTTAAAAAGCCACAGCTCAGAGGTCACCAGACGCTACAAGATAAGGTGGGATAAAAAGAGGAAGCAGGGCGTGACTTTCCTTTCCTTATCTATCTAGATAGTCTTTTTTTGTCTGGGATGGCAGAGCTCAGAAACCGTTATCTCAGATTCGAAAAGACAACCTAAGAATCTGCTGAGGGAAGTAATGAGGAACCCTGTTACCAGACTATTTACATTCTGGCTGACAGAGCCGAAAGAGCAGACTGAGCCGCCTCTTCCCTGGCTGATGTAAAATAAACCTCGAGGGCCAGCGGCGAGGGACAAGAACACCAGGGCTTCAGGAACGGAGAAAAGGCGGCCGTCCCAGGGGTCCCAGACACACCATCACTCTGACCTCCGGGAGGTCCTAGGAACCCAGGCGCCAAGGGCCTGCTCACCGTACTCACCTTTTTGATGTTGGATTTGGAAGCAGGATGAAAGTCCTTCTTGCACATGAAATTGGCGAAGGATTTCCCCATTTTGGAGGGTGAGCTGGGGTATGCAACCGCTAGATTTGAGAGCAACGTAAACAAACTCTGCCGCCTAACCGGAACTGCGCCTCCAGTAGCAATTAGAACTTCCGGGGTCAAAGGGGACGACTTCCGGCACTAGCTCCTCTGCCGCCCCTTTTCTCTCCTTTCCCCTTTCACTTGGGTAGCTCGGAGGCCAGGTGAGGGGCGTGTCGGGGGGGGCTGGGGGAGGGGCGGGGGCTGGGGGAGGGGCGGGCGAGCCCAGTAGTTGTAGGAAGTAGGAAGCCCGGAAGTGCGGCGGGTGGGACTGAGAGGCTCCTAGGAGGGGCTCCTGGGAGGGGCGCGGGCCGAAGCTGAGCAGTACGCAGCTGTCTGGGGTGCTGAGTGTGTGCTGAGCGGCGGCAAGAGGTTCTGGAAGTCCGAGCAGTTTATTCTGTGAACGCTGTGTCGAGTTACAGAAACCTGCCTGCACCGATTTTTCTCGTCTGTAGTAATTCTTGCCCTAACTGTAGCAAGTTTGTGAGGATCAAACGATAAAAGCTCTTGGTGAACTAAAGCATTAAAAGTATATAAAATGTCAACTCCACAAGAGCGAGGACTCTAGTTTGTTACCAACTGTGGGGCGCCTGGTGCAGAAAGATGTCCGTAAACATTTGTTAAATGATGACTATGTTCTAGAGGTTAGTAAAGCCTCTCAAGACTGCCCCTCCTAAATGCGTTAGATGTCTTCCTAACCAGGTGACCTGTTTTCTTAGCTTATTACCCCGGTTGGGTCAGATTACGTAGTGCACCTTGATGGCTCTTGAGATTCCAGGGTATTGAGGGTACGTGGCTGCCGCTGCTGTAGGCGATCCTTCAACCAAGTCCTTTCCCAGGATGAGGTGGCGTGTGATGTCAGGAGTAAGCTTTTCTGAGAAATGTACTCTTCTGACATATAATAACAGTAACAGCGTTTATATAAGTGTCTGATATGTTCTATGCATTGTGCAAAACGTTTTACACATTGTCTTATTAAATTTTCATAACAGCCCTTTGAGAGATTTACAGATGAGGCAGTAGGCTTAGATAGAGATTAAATAGCCTGCCAAAGTTAGGCAGTGGTGGAACTAACTTTGGAACACATATAGAAGGCGATTTAGGACATGAGTTGAAAATCACACGAAGGACTTGCCTGGTGGTCCATTGTTAAGAATCCGCCTGCTAATGTAGGGGACACTGCTTCTGTCCCTAGTCCAGGAAGATTCCCCCATACTGCGGACCCTCTAAGCTTGCAGTGCACAACTACTCAACCCCAGGCTCCTAGAACCCGTACTCTGCAAGCAAGAGTAGCCCTGGCTGCCCACAACTAGAGAAAGCCTGCACACAGCAAGGAAGACCCAGTGTGGCCAAAAATAATAAATTAAAAAACATTTTTTTAAAGGAAGGAAAATCACACAGGAACAGAAGCATTGATGACCTTTCTCCATCACTGAGAAAAAGAGAAAAACCCTTAGGCATTTCAGGCTGAATTTGTTTCTTTCTTACTTGAGTCATTTTGTTTTCTTTACAATGAAATATTGATTACATTTAAATCTGTTCGTGTAAAGCCATTCTAAGGTTTGGGTAGTATAAGACCAAGGAAAGAAGGAAACTGAAAACAATTTGCCATTCTAAAAGCAAATTTTGTTGCTGTTGATATTTAGTTGCTAGGTTTCTGACTCTTTGCACCTCATGGACTGTAGCCCACCAGGCTGCTATGTCCCTGGGATTTCCCAGGCAAGAATACTGGAGTGGGTTGCCATTTCCTTCTCTAGGGGATCTTCCTGACCCAGGGACCAAACCCGTGTCTCCTGCTTGGCAGGCATCTCCTGCTTGGCAAGTGGATTCTTTACCACTGAGCCAATAAGCTCTACTAAAATTGAGGATTTAAGATTTTTCCAAATTACAATTGAAGATATGATCTTGATATTAAATTATACAGTCAGGACTTACACGTTGAATGTGAACATAACAATTCAACAATGGGAAATAACAGTTTGGAATTTTATTGGCATGTTTTTGCTTTTGTCTGATGTAGTGAGGCTGTTTCAAAATTAAAATGTTTTAATGAACGCCACCCTTATGGCAGAAAGTGAAGAAGGACTAAAGAGACTCTTGATGAAAGAGGAAAGTGAAAAAGTTGGCTTAAAGCTCAACATTCAGAAAATTAAGATTATGGCATATGGTCCCATCACTTCATGACAAATAGTTGGGGAAACAATGGAAACAGTAGCTGACTTTATTTTTCTGGGCTCCAAAGTCACTGCAGATGGTGATTGCAGCCATGAAGTTAAAATACGCTTACTCCTTGGAAGGAAAGTTGTCACCAACCTAGATAGCATATTAAAAAGCAGAGACCCATTACTTTGCCAACAAAGGTCCGTCTCGTCCAGGCAATGGTTTTTCCAGTAGTCATGTTTGGATGTAAGAGTTGGACTATAAAGAAAGCTGAGCGCTGAAGAATTGATGCTTTTGAACTGTGGTGTTGGAGAAGACTCTTGAGAGTCCCTTGGACAGGAAGGAGATCCAACCAGTCCATCCTAAAGGAAATCAGTCCTGAGTGTTCATTGGAAGGACTGATGTTGAAGCTGAAACTCCAATACTTGGGCCACCTGATGCGAAGAACTGACTCATTTGAAAAGACTCATCTGATGCTGGGAAAGATTGAAGGCAGGAGGAGAAGGGGATGACAGAGGATGAGAAGGTTGGATGGCATCACCGACTCAATGGAGTTGAGTCTGAGTAAACTCCAGGAGTTGGTGATGGACAGGGAGGCCTGGTGTGCTGTGGTCCATGGGGTCGCGAAGAGTCGGACACAACTGAGCAACTGAACTGAACTGAACTGAACTGAATGAACATTCTTTGTTAGATATATACACAAATATAGTCTTTACAGTATAGGTACAGGTGTTTCCAAATATGGAAATAGTGAAAGGAGATTCAGGGAAGACTTCAGAAGAGAAAGAGCTTGCAGGGCAAATCTGAGCTATAAACTAGAAGGAGGTACTTGTTATTCCTGTTTTCTTACTTATTCTTGTAGTGCTAGATTCATGCCCATTGTTTTCTTACTGATTTCTGTAGTACAGTATATGAAATTTAAAACTTTAGTGAATGAACATCATTTGTTAGATATGACAGTAATATCCCCAGTGATCAAGTAAACTCTGTTTTGTAAAAAATATTTTTCTCTTTTTATTTTCAAACTTCCATATGATTTTTAGTTTAAAAAAAGATGGAACCTTGTTCCTGTGACACTTTCGTGGCATTACCTCCAGCAACAATTGATAACAGGGTTATTTTTGGAAAAAATTCAGATAGACCCTGTGATGAAGTACAGGAAGTAGTTTATTTTCCTGCTGCAGTTCATGACAACCTGAAGGAACATCTTAAGGTAGGTGAAATGCATGTTTTGTTAGCAATATTTTTCTTTAAAAATGTCAAAAAACAGTGTTTAAAAATCACTTGCTAGCTATCTGGCAGAGGCTATAGATGTTAAAAAATCAAAGAATTTAAATTTCATAAATAATTTGAATCAGAACTAGAATTCTGGTCTTTTATTTTAGTGATTTGGAGAAAGCTGAAATAATTATTGTTAGTTTTTTGAGCAAATATTTGAATGCTTACCATATGCAAGCATGTTGAATAGGGGAAAGAGTTAACGCTTGCTGTCAAGACTGGTTCTGTCTTGCTTTTAACAGTTCCCTACCTTAACAACAGGCTTCCCATGTGGCTGGGTGTTAAAGAATCACCTGCCAGATAGGAAACAGGGGCTGAATTTTCTGGGTTGGGAAGATCCCTTGGAGAGGAAAGTGGTAACCCACTCTAGTATCTTGCCTGGAAAATCCCATGGACAGAGGAGACTGGTGGGCTATAGTTTATGGGGTCACAAAAGAGTCGGACAGGACTTAGAAACTAAACAACAACCACTCTTAACAAGAGGTGTGAGATCTCATATTAAGATGTGCAAGTGTGGACTTTCTTGGTAGTCCAGTTATTAAGAATCCGCCTGCCAGTGCAGGGAACATGGCTTCAGTCTCTGGGCCCAGGAAGATTCCACCTGCTGCAGGACAGCTACACCCTTGTGCTGCAGCTATTAAACACCACAGCAAGAGAAGCCACCTCACACACCACAACTGGAGTAGCTCCTGCTCACCACAACTCGAGAAAGCCTGGGTGCAACAAAAGACCCGGCTCAGCCAAAAATAGTAATAATAAAATATCTGAAAGCTTCAAGAATGCTGTGGTAAACACCATTTTAGAGCTCATGGAACTAAGATCCTAGGAGTGGCTATGGAGGAAGATCTTAAATTGCAAAGATTTGTTGTTGCCGGCTTTCAACTTAAGTCAATTAGTTATTAATGTCAACCTATCATAAAAATGCCAGCATGCTGCATCTGGTTAAACGAGGGGAGAAAAGATTTTACCTTATTTGCCTTGTTTACCCACCCTGCCCTATAATGCCTATAATCATGAAGATGAAATAAATTATAACATTTAGTTTCTATCATTAAAAAAAAAGACAAGTTTTGTCTTCCAGGAGCTTAGAGTCTAGTAGAGGAATAGGATGTGTATGTAACTAACCACCTTGTAAAGAAGGATGAAGTTTCAACACCAAATTTAAGAGCAGCAGATTGTGACAGCGGTGGGGAAGAGGCAATTAATTCAGACTAGGAATCAAAGAAGGCTTTACCAGAAGTTGGGCTTTCAGCTGGAATTTGACGTGCAAAAAGGATTCTGATTGATGTAGAATAGAAACAGTCATTCCAGGCTCTGGAAATAGCAGTTTTATCATCAGAAGAGGTTTTCTTGATCCAGTGATAACTGTCAATACTATGCACTAGTCGTTTGATAGTATACACGTCAATTAAAGGATCCTTTAAAATTTTTTTTATTTAAAAAATCCATTTATATGGAATTTAAAGGGAAAATTTCACACTATGCTTTTATTGCTAAATTATTTATTTTTAGATTCCATTTTTACTGATATTCTAGTATGAAGATATATTAAATATTAGATGTTTTATGTATCCGTTGTTCCTCCACATCCTTGTGGGATTGGTTCCAGGACCCCCTAGGATATCAAAATCATTTGATGCTCAAGTCCCTTATATAAAATGACATACACATGCATATAACCTATGCACATCCTCTCATAAATTTTATTTTATTTTTTAGGAATTGTATCAATTTTATATCTCTCATTCATTTATTTTCCTTTTGAAATGCTCAAATCAAGGCAGGTGTTTACAAATGTCTTTCTTTAAAATGGTTGCAATCATAATAATAGTACATTTGATTCATAAGTTTAATTTCCCAAAGTATTTAGTTTGGAATCAATCCAAAACAAAATATTACATTATTCAAAAGAGATAATATATCAGGAAATGTATGCCATGATCAAGTATATATTAAAAACAGTTATAGTCCACATGTGTCTTTCATTACACTTTTATTTTAAACATATATGTCCATTGCTATGTGAGGAAGATTTTTCAGAGACAGTAGGAATTGCAAGTTACTGCAGACCTTTCTGTGGCCACGCTTATCTCTCATAAACTTTAAATTATCTCTAGGTAGTACAATATGTATGGCATGTAAATAGTAAATACAATATAAGTGATATGTAAATAGTTTCCAGCAAGTGGCAAATTTGTTTTGCTTTTTGGAACATGTTGGAATATTTTTTTTGCTGAATATTTTTGATCACTGTTTAGTTGACTGTGTGGATGTGGAACCTGTGGATATGGAGGGCTAATTGTACTAGGCCAGTGTTTTCTTTTGATGAGACTATTTACTCATTGTGGATCCATTTCTGTTTTATCTCTTCATATTTATCTCACCTATCCTGTAAACCAGTAGTTCTTGTTCTTTTCACAGTTGTGGATAAACCTGATGGGTGAATTCCACGTGTGACATGGGCTTCTATGGCAATCACTTGTATTTATGGGCTGCCATATGGAATGTATATCATTAATCAACAAACACTGGACGTTGAGTTTGAGATCTCTTTCTTTACATTTCAACTCACATACATCTTCCTTTACAATATGTTTCAAGATTTCACAACTAGAAACTCTCTCCTGAGCTTCTATTGGCACCCCATCTTCACTTTTCTTCATAGTCCTTATACTTTGTATTTCCTTGTGTCTTACTAATGTACAAGTCTCAGTTTCTTGAAAGCAAGATCTGTATCTGATTCACCGTTATAACTAATATATTTCTTAGCAGACAGGAGAGGCTTAGTACATATCTAAATGAATAAATGCTCTTAGGGACAATTCTGAATATTTTTTAAGGGTAATGCCTTTATAATTGAAATTTTCAATTTAGTTATAATTTCTTTCATAATAGTCAGGCCTTTGATCAATTTTAAGATTCTAGACTTTGATAACTTTTCTTTTTCAGTTTTATTGTTGTTGCTATGACTTTCTTTACAGTGTACTTACATAGAAATTGATCAAGTTCCTGAAACATATGCTGTTGTCCTTAGTCGCCCAGCTTGGTTATGGGGAGCAGAAATGGGAGCCAATGAGCATGGAGTTTGCATTGGGAATGAAGCTGTATGGGGAAGAGAAAAAGTTTGTGATGAAGAGGCACTGCTGGGCATGGACCTTGTCAGGTTATTTTTTTGTTACATTTTTGCACTATAGAACCTGTCTAAACTTAAAATTTTGGTGTAACTCTTAACATGTTTTATCTTCCTTTTTTTCCCCATTTTTTGGACTTTTACACTTTATAGTTTGTGTTAAAAATGCTTCAGAATACAGGTATGCAATTTCAAGACTCTCAAATATCATTAATTAGGGGAAGGGAATGAATTGAAAATTATGATTCATTGGAAGTACTTAACAGATTTTATTAGACCATAACTAATTCTCACAGTTACCTTATGGGCTATTATTATTATCCTGATTTTACAGATGAGAAATCTGGAGATTTAGAGATAAATCAGCTTGCAAATAAATTACCAAGTTGGAATTTGAACACTGATCTTTGTTTTCATCATCCCAAACTAACTTTAGAAGGAATAGATTAAAAGTTGGATTTGCCTGTATCTATTAGCTTGAAGAGGTTTTTCTTTGAACATAAACACAAAATCTCATGTGCATGAAATTATTGAAGAAAAATAATGAAAATTTCTTTTAATCTGAGAGCTTTAATATTTTTATTTTAGACTTGGCCTTGAAAGAGGTGATACAGCTGAAAAAGCCCTCAATGTCATTGTTGATTTATTAGAAAAATATGGCCAGGGTGGAAATTGTTCAGAGGGCAGGATGGTATTTAGCTATCACAACAGTTTCCTGATAGCGGATAGAAATGAAGCCTGGATTCTGGAGACTGCAGGAAAGTACTGGGCAGCAGAAAAAGTAGAAGGTATGGACAGCTTTTCATGATTTAATTTGTTTTACAGTTAATAAAATACCTCCTAATTGCAGGCATTTCATTTAGTTGTTTTTCAAGATTTATACCCCAGTGCAATGAAGGGGAAAACTGCAGGGGAAATGAAAAAAGGTGAAAGAACTCTATAAAGAGCTTTCTTGAAAAAGAGGAAAAGATGCTATCATCTCTTTTTCATAAATATGATATTAATTTCATATAACCTGTGTACATTTTCTGTGAAGTAACTCTTGTATGCTTTATAGTAGTTTTTTACCTTTTAATGAGATAAAATCATTACTTTATTATTTTTTCATCTTTTAAACTTTGGGCTGAACTCCAGAATTTCATCATGTGTGGATATGGAGGTGAGGACTAGGGAGTGTTACTGGGGATTGGTGATTGTGAGTTAGTGGTGAGAAAGAATATGTTAGTAGTAACAGTAGTAAAGTATAAACATTTAATGTCATTGAGTAAATAAAACAATTGTTTTAGAATGCTTTGCTTTTTTTTTCTTGATTTCTTTGTGATCATATATACTCATTTTCCAGTGAGGAAATTCAGAGATATGAAATTATGTACTCAGGGCAGTGAATGATAGAAGTTATTGTTTTTAAATTTTATTTATTTATTGTTTTAGCCTTAGAATTTAAATATTTCCATCCTGACTCTTTGTTCAGTATTCTTTCACTTGAGTATAGTCTTGTGCTAAGGCATGTTCACATACTTTTTGTGTAGTTACCCTCTGGATCTCATAGTTTTACAGATACACATGTGAAAATATTAAATAGTACATGAATAATATATACATATATATGCCATAAATATTTAAAGAAAGGGAAAGTCATTGTGAACTGGAGAAGTTTAGAAAATCTTCATGAAGGTAGCTTTGAGCTTTGCAGGATTTGGATGCTACTTTTCACAGCAGGTTATTGACAGTTGTTTAGATGGACATTTTATTTTATATTTTGCATGCATGTTTATTAATACATAAAATTGAATTGAGACTATTTTTCTTATTATGATAATTGGCCTGATCATACCATTAATTACTTTTTATTTTGTCAAGTATGCTACATACAAGAGAAAAATGAGTAAGTGTTTTTTGTTGAAAAATGAGCCCCACCAAGCCATCTGAAACGAACACCTTCATTGAGTCTGATTATTCAGTTGCAGATTAACTTTGCCAACTTGTTTCTCTTCCTAATAGTAAATGAGCCCAAGAACTAAATAGCTTAACTGTAGGGAATTATCTTACTAGATGGAAAATTCTTCCCTGACTTTGCTTCTGTCATGACTTAAGTCTATTATTGTAGTGAGACCATCCCAAGTATGACTTCATTAGAGTAATTTAACTGATTTCTACTTGGCTGATTGTCATTCTAAACTGTTTTAAAATGTTGTTAATTTTTATTTATCATATCTATTTCATTTATTATGATTTGTTTAGAATAGGCTTTTATTGTTTCTTCTGTTTTGTATTTTAATTGTAAATTTTGTTATAACTTAAGTGTCATGATATTTTTGGAAGCCTTCTATATCCGTTCTAAACTTACTTATGGCTATTTTTTAAACAGTAATTCACATAAAAGACTAATATCTAAAATATTATAAATAACTGTCAAAATTCAACAGTAAAAAGACAATCCAACTAGAAAAATGAACAAGAAGACACAAAGAGACATTTTGCCTAAAGGGATATACAGATATCACAAAAGCTCACGAAATGATGTTTAGCATCATTACCCATTAGGGAAATGCAAACTAAAATCACAATGAGATAGTATTATACCTCTATCAGAAGGGCTGAGAAATTTTTAAATTTTATTTATTTTAATTGGAAGATACTTGCTTTACAATATTGTGTTGTTTTCTGCCATACATCATGAATCAGCCGTAGGCATACATGCATCTTAAACCTCTCTCTTGAGCCCTCCTCCCACCTCCCACTCTATCCCACCTCTCTAGGTTGTCACAGAGCATTGGTTTGCGCTCCCAGCATCATACAGCAGATTCTCACTGGCTATCTATTTTACTGGAATGGTTAAAGATTTTTAAATGACACTACCAAAAAGCTAGTGAGAATGTGGAGAATGGGTCACTGATACATTGCTAGTACGAATATAAGTCACTCGGAAAACAGTTTGGCAGTTAAAAAAAGGATCTTAATATGCAACTATGATACAGTGTAGCACTTACAACCTTGTGCATTTATCCCTGAGAAAGAAAACTTAAATGCACATGAAAACCTGTACATGAATTTGTATAGCAGCTTTTTCCACGATAGGCAGAAACTGGAAACAACGAAGCAGTCCTTTAACTGGTGAATATTTAAATAAACTGTAGTATACCTATGCCATGGAATACTACTCAGCAATAAAAAGGAATGAACTGTTGATACATATAATAACCTGGAATAATCTTTAGGGAATTAAACTGAGGGGAAAAAAAAGCCTTAAGATTATATATTGTATGATTCCATTTATATGGGTTTCTTTTGAAATGACAATTATAGAAATGAATAACAGATGGTTGCCTGGGGTTTATGAAAAGGTGGGTGTAGAGATAAGTGGCTGTGGCTCTGAAAGGGCAACATGAGTGATCATTGTGATATAATCTTGACAGTATGAATATCAATATTTTGGTTGTGATATCATACAAGACGTTACCATTTGGGGAGACATTATAAAGGTGCATAGTTTGTTCTTTAATTCTTATAATTGCATGTGAATCCATAGTTACTTCAAAATAAAAAGTTTAATTTAAAAAAGTTTTTATTCATGGGTAATAAATAGATATACATGGTACAACGTTTAGAAGCCTATATTTACATTGAAATAGTGATTAAAGATCATAATGTACAGAGATAGATACATTACATTAAATGTGACTTTTCTTCTCCCTTCCTCTCTTCTTTGAAAATAGAGGGAGTTCACAATATTTCTAATCAGCTTTCTATAACAACCAAAATTGATCGGGAACACCCAGAAATGAGAAACTATGCCAAGCAGAGAGGTTGGTGGGATGGGAAAAAGGAATTCGATTTTGCTGCAACATACTCTTATCTTGACACAGCCAAGATGATGATTTCACCAGGCAGATACTGTGAAGGCTACAAACTTCTGAATAAGCATAAAGGTAATTTTAAATAATGCCAGAATGAAAATATTTCATGTATATATAATGTAGGTATAATAAAGTTTAGGTTTTGGCGAATTATTCTAAGTAAAGATATATATTTATTAAAACTGAAAGTATTGTGATATTGTAAACTATTTTTTGAGATGAGTGAAGTGCTATATAATTGTGAGAGGGTAACAGTAATGATTCTTTTTGAAGAACAAGTTCAGATTTGCAATCCTCAAATCCTTTTTTCAGTTCTTATTAATATTCTTAAAGCCAAATTTATATTACTTTTGTTGTCAGAATTCACTGGAACATGGAGATAGTTTTCTTTGACTCTTGCTCCTACTTTTTTTTATCTTTTGATAGTACCCTGGATATTTTCTAATTTCAAAAGTTATATCTGGAATAGGTCAAGAAGACTAACTGAGAAGATATAAGAATTCTCCCTTTTCACTCCTAAACTCTAGAACTGTTGAATAAAATATTTAAACATTAAGGACGTATACAGCTAACGTATACGTATACTGAATACATATACGTATTCCTCTTCTTAAACACAAGAAGAGGAAATTGTTAGGTACCAAAAATGAAGAGAGAACTCACATTGTCAGCAAGATTTGAGGTATCTTTTCTCTGTGCAGTTCAACTTCTGTGTCTAAGAGGATATTGTGGACAAGATATCAGCCTTGCAGGCTACTTTTAACATCCATGTGAATATAGGTGCCTAGCAGAAAGATTAATCTGGGGAGCAGGAACTGGACTCCTTACTAAGATCAGTACTCTGCTGCTGGCCCAGAGTCCAGCTGGAACTGAGATGTCTGCTGTGCCAGGCTGTGGGTCAGTACAGTCTCTTGTGAGCAACTGAACTCGGATCTATGTGTATTTTGTATTATGTATAATTATATTTATGGAAATGTCTGCTTCTCCATTGAATTCTGTCAGTTTTTGCTTAATGTATTTTCAGTTCAGTTCAATTCAGTCACTCAGTCATGTCCAACTCTTTGTGACCCCATGGACTGCAGCACACCAGGCTTCCCTGTCCATCACCAACTCTCAGAGCTTACTCAAACTCACGTCCACTGGGTCAGTGATGCCATCCAACCTTCTCATCCTCTGTTGTCCTTCTCTTCCTGCCCTCAATCTTTCCCAGCATCAAGGTCTTTTCCAGTGAGTCAGTTCTTCGCATCAAGTAGCTAAGTATTGGAGTTTCAGCTTCAGCATCAGTCCTTCCAATGAACACTCAGGACTGATCTCCTTTAGGATTGACTGTTTGGATCTTCTTACAGTCCAAGGACTCTCAAGAGTCTTCTCCAACACCACAGTTCAAAAGCATCAATTCTTTGGCGCTCAGCTTTCTTTATAGTCTAACTCTCACATCCATACGTGACTACTGGAAAAATCATAGCATTGACTAGACAGACCTTTGTTGGCAAAGTAATGTCTCTGCTTTTTAATATGCTGTCTAGGTTGGTCATAGCTTTTCTTCCAAGGAGCAAGAGTCTTTTAATTTCATGGCTGCAGTCACCATCTGCAGTGATTTGGGAGCCTGAAAAAATACAGTGTCTCACTGTTTCCGTTGTTTCCCCTTCTATTTGCCATGAAGTGATGAGACTGGATGCCATGATCTTAGTTTTCTGAATGTTGAGTATTAAACCAACTTTTTCACTCTTCGCTTTCACTTTCATCAAGAGGCTGTTTACTTCTTCCTTCACTTTCTGCCATAAGGGTGGTGTCATCTGCATATCTGAGGTTATTGATATTTCTGCCGGCAGTCTTGATTCCAGTTTGTGCTTCATCCAGCTGACATTTCACATGATGTACTCTGCATATAAGTTAAATAAGCAGGGTGACAGTATACAGCCTTGACTTACTCCTTTCCCGATTTGGAACCAGTCTGTTGTTCTGTGTCTAGTTCTAACTGTTGCTTCTTGACCTACATACAGATTTCTCAGGAGGCAGGTAAGGTGATCTAGTATTCCCATCTCTTTAAGAATTTTCCAGTTTGTTGTGATCCACACAGTCAAAGGCTTTGGCGTAGTCAGTAAAGCAGAGTAGATGTTTTTCTGGAACTCTTGCTTTTTTGATGATCCAACGGATGTTGGCAATTTGATCGCTGGTTCCTCTGCCTTTTCTAAATCCAGCTTGAACATCTGGAAGTTCACAGTTCACGTACTGTTGAAGCCTGACGTGGAGGATTTTGAGTATTACTTTGCTAGCGTGTGAGATGAGTGCGAGTGTGTGGTACTTTGAGCATTCTTTGACATTGCCTTTCTTTGGGACTGGAATGAAAACTGACCTTTTCCAATACTGTGGCCACTGCTGAGTTTTCCAAATTTGCTGGCATATTGAGTGCAGCACTTTCACAGCATCATTTAGGATTTGAAATAACTCAATTGGAATTCTATCACCTCCACTAGCTTTGTTTGTAGTGATGCTTCCTAAGGCCCACTTGACTTCACATTCCAGGATATCTGGCTCTGGGTGAGTGATCACACCATTGTGGTATCTGGATCATGAAGATCTTTTTTGTATACTTCTTCTGTGTATTCTTGCCAACTCTTCTTAACATCTTCTGCTTCTGTTTGGTCCATACCATTTGTGTCCTTTATTATGCCCATCTTTGCATGAAGTGTTCCCTTGGTATCTCTAAGTTTCTTGAAGAGATCTCTAGTCTTTCCTATTCTATTGTTTTCCTCTATTTCTTTGCACTGATAGCTGAGGAAGGCTTTCTTATCTCTCCTGCTATTCTTTGGAACTCTGCATTCAAATGGGTATATCTTTCCTTTTCTCTTTTGCCTTTTGCCTTTTGCTTCTTTTCTTTTCTCAGCAATTTGTAAGGCCTCCTCAGACAGCCATTTTGCCTTTTTGCATTTCTTTTTCTTGGGGATGGTCTTGATCACTGCCTCCTGTACAATGTCACAAACCTTCGTTCATAGTTCTTCAGGCACTCTATCAGATCTAATCCCTTGAATCTATTTGTCACTTCCACTGTATAATCATTGGGGATTTGATTTAGGTCATACCTGAATGGTCTAGTGGTTTTCCCTACTTTCTTCAATTTAAGTCTGAATTTGTCAATAAGGAGTTCATGGTCTGAGCCACAGTCAGCTCCTGGTCTTGTTTTTGCTGACTGTATAGAACTTCTCCATCTTTGGCTGCAAAGGATACGATCAATCTGATTTCGGTATTGACCATCTGGTCATGTCCATGTGTAGAGTCTTCTCCTGTGTTGTTGGAAGAGGGTGTTTGCTATGAGCAGTGCGTTCTCTAGGCAGAACTCTGTTAGCCTTTGCCCTGCTTCATTCTGTACTCCAAGGCCAAGTTTGCCTGTTACTCCAGTTATCTCTTGACTTCCTACATTTGCATTCCAGTCCCCTCTAATGAAAAGGACATCTTTTTGGGTGTTAGTTCTAGAAGGTCTTGTAGGTCTTCATAGGACCATTCAACTTCAGCATTACTGGTTGTAGTATAGACTTGGATTACTATGATATTGAATGGTTTGCCTTGGAAGTGAACAGAGATCATTCTGTCATTTTTGAGACTGCATCCAAGTACTGCATTTCAGACTCTTTTGTTTACTATGATGGCTACTCCATTTCTTCTAAGGGATTCTTGCCCACAGTAGTAGATCTAATGGTCATCTGAGTTAAATTCACACATTCCAGTCCATTTTAGTTTGCTGATTCCTAAAATATCGATGCTCACTCTTGCCATCTTTTGTTTGACCACTTCCAATCTACCTTGATTCATGGACTTAATATTTCAGGTTCCTATGCAATATTGCTCTTTACAGCATTGGACTTTACTTACATCATCAGTCACATCCACAACTGGGTATTGTTTTTGCTTTGGCTCCATCCTTTCATTCTTTCTGGAGTTATTTCTCCACTGATCTCCAGTAGCATATTGGGCCCTTACCGACCTGGGAAGTTCATCTTTCAGTGTCCTATCTTTTTGCCTTTTCATATTGTTCATGGGGTTCTCAAGGCAAGAATACTGGAGTGGTTTGCCATTCCCTTCTCCAGTGGACCACGTTTTGTTAGAACTCTCCACCATGACCTCTTCATCTTGGGTGACCCTACACAGCATGGTTCACAGTTTCACTGAGTTGACAAGGCTGTGGTCCATATGATCAGTTTGATTAGTTTTCTGTGATTGTGGTTTTCATTCTGTCTGCTCTCTGATGGATAAAGATAAGATGCTATGGAAGCTTCCTGATGCCAGAGACTGACTGAGGGGGAAACTGGGTCTTATACTGTATTTTAAATACTGGTAATGTATTTTAAAATGCTGTTATTAGGTGCATATTATTACACAAGGTTATCTGGAAAATCTCCCAATAGTTGGAAATTGTAGAACACACTTTAAATATATGGGTCAAAAAAAGAAATCTCAAATTAGAAAATATTTTGAATTAAATAAAATGAAAATCACATATTTATGGCATGCAGCAAAAGTACCAGTTCCAGGAAAATGTATAGCATTAAGTGCTTATATCAGATAATAAGAAAAGTCTCATATCAACAATGTAAGCTTTCACCTTAATAAACTAAAACAAAAGAAAACCAAAAATTCCCAAGCAAAGAACAAAAAGAAAATCATAAAGTGCAGAAATCAATAAAATTGAAAACAACAAAACCATGGCAAAAATAGATCAAATTAAAAAAATTTGTTCTTTGAAAAAATTAATAAATTGATATACTCTAGACAGCTTGACAAAGAAAAAAAAGAAGAAAACACAAGTTACATGTCAGAAAAAAGATATTATATATCTGTAGACATTAGGAAGATAATAGGGAATGCTCTAAACAGCTCTAAGTGTATTCAATAGCTTGGAGGAAATGAACCAATTCCTTGAAAGCCACCAATTACCAAAACTCACCTAGGAAGAAGTAACTCTTCATTTAGCAATTTAATTGATTGTATGCAATCTGCAAAGTCTGTCTCCTGGTCAGCAGCTCAAATTCCAGTTCAGCTCTTATGTCTTTAGAATGAGGATCATTCTGGCCCTT